GGTGTGAGGCGGGGGTGGGCAGCGTAGGTAGCCCCCAGTGTGGGGGGTGTGAGGCGGGGGTGGGCGGTGCAAGCAGCCCCCGGCGTGGGGAGCGTGAGGCTGGGGTGGGCGGTGCAGGCAGCCGCCAGCCCCTGCTCTGGAATTGGGGCGGGAGCGGTGCCAGCAGCCCGTGTGAAGTGTGAGTGGTACAAGGGCTGTCGTTGGCAGGACTCCTGACTGGTGGTGGTCCTCTGCCCTTCTAGAGCTGTTCGTGTACAGAGCTGGACGGCTTTGCTGGTGTGTTATGAAGACTCCGCGCCCCAGGGACGTGGTAGAGATCGCTCACCCCCAGTGAGCTGTCCCCTCGAGGAGGGGCCTGGCAGCTGTTCAGCAGTGCACGGCACTGCCACCCCCGTGGTGAGGCGAGGAAGAGCAAGCGGCACAGGTCAGTTAGGCAGAAGGGAATTACCCAGCTGGGAGGTGGCCAAGACAAGAGGGTGACAGGGCTGCACCTGCCATGGGCTCTTTGATCACAAGCAGACAACCCCTGCTGCACGTCGCCTATGAAGGAAGTGGCAGGGTGTGGACTGAGCCCTAACCCCGAGGGAACAGCGTCACCTCCTGCAGCATCTTCGAGCTTGTCCTGGCTGGCGGTGAGATCTGGCAGGGCCCCTGGCAGGGCCCCAGGCAGGGCGAGCGGCTGGCTGCTGTTGTCCCGGCTGAGTGGTCAGTTGCCAAGTTACATAGATTTTGCTCTTTTAATCCGCTCATTCTTACAGCACCCAAGCCTGTGCCTGGGGCCTCCCAGACCACGTGCTGCCTGGGTCCCTGCCCAAAGCACTTCCAGCCTTCGCCTGATGTGACATGGGCAGCGAGGGGCGACCGGGTGGAGCGGGCTCAGGGTGACAGTCGGAAAGTCTCCCAGCAAAGGCCAGTGGTGTTGGAAGCTAAGCTCCCACTGGCTCTAAGGCAGGGGTGCCTCTTGGTGGCTGTCTAGGTCTTGATTAATTCCCCCCTCGTCACGGGGGGGAGCTGGGGCCTCCAGTTGTATGCAGCCCTGGGATCTTACTGTTGCTTTCAGACTCCCTCCTCTCCCCTGTTTGTCGTGCTCACGGGGTCCTGTTCTCAGTGAGGTTGCTGGCTCTTTGGGGCTGGGACCAGATCCTCCCCTCTGCATTGCCTCAGCATAGGGGTGGTCAGGGCCTTCTGCATGCAGCAAACAGGAATGGAGCATCAGCAGGACTCGGGGTGAGGTGAGGCAGGTGCGTTGGTCCGCAGGCTCTAGGAGCCTGGTGCAGGCCGGCGGGGCCGCGTGGATCCTTTGTGCGGGGAGGAGGTGAAGGAGGCCTGGAGCTGGTGCCAGGGGCGTGGGGGGAGGGCACAGATCTGAAAAGTGACCCGGTCAGAGATGCAGGCAGGGGCATGACCTGGGACCCAAGCGCCAGAAGTCTGAGGTTGATGCTCAGCGCCCTGGGGTGCACAGATTCTAAGGCCAGAGGGACCATAGTGATTGTCTGCTCTGACCCCCTGTGCAGCACAGGCTGGAGAGCTGCCCTGGATTCATCCCTGATGGAGCTAGAGCAAAAAATCCCATCTTGATTGAAAAATGGCCAGTGATGGAGAATCCACCATGGCCCTGGGTAAGTTGTTCCAATGGTTCGTTCCCCTTTGTTACACTGAATTTCTCTAGCTTCAGCTTCCAGCCATTGGATCTCATTAGACCTTTGTCTGTTGGGTGAGGAGCCCTCTCTGGTCAAATTCAAGGTGCGGGGGGGACGCCATGGCTGAGGCATCGTGTGCCAGTGAGGAGGAGTTTGGAGGGCGTGGAGAGAGGGGAGGTTGTCTTCCTGGCCATGCAGCCTCTCCTTGGGCATCCTCCCTCCAACCTCTCTCATCATTTCTGGTGCTTTTCTCTGAATTCCCCCATTTGCCAGAACAGGTTGGTACTGAAGGGCTGGGCTGGATCACAGCATTCAGGATGTGGGCTTGAGCTGCCTCTGCAGCCTGAAATAACACACATGCTTTCAGCATCACCCCATGTATCTCTCCGCTGTCCCAGTGAATGTCTGCGTGGGGCTGTTTTCCCCGGGTGTATTCACCACACTTTTCCAGGCTGAATTCTCCTGTATTTCCAACCTCGCTAGGTTCCTTTGAATTATTTATCTGCGCTTTCCAGTGTTTGCAACACCTCTCTGCTCCGGCTCATCTGCAAATTTAATTATAATTCATTATTCAAGTCAAATGTTGTGAGTCCGTGTCAAACGATACCCTGGTGGCCAGTGCTTGTCCAAAAGCTCTGGCCAGTAATCCTTGTGAAAGAACTCGTGTTCTGGATAACCCCCGTGGCTTCCCTCGACATTTGCATAGCGTCTCTTCGGTGTTTGTTCCATTCTTTCACTAGAGATTGCGGTTGGATTTGCCATACGGTGGGGGTCGGGGTTATTGTTCCTTCTCGGATAGAAAATCAGTACCTCCTTTACGTTTTTCACTCCTCTCCAGAGCTCTGTGATTTTTTACCAATATTGTCTGTAGTTCGGTAGGTTAATTAGCTGACTCCTTGATACTCTACAGTGCCTGGCACCCCGATGAGCTGATTTTATAGAGAGCGATCTTTGGTTTCTATTTTCTTTTACCAGCAGCTGTTTTCACAAATCCTTATTTGGGTGGTTAAAGACATTTAAATAATCTCAGCCTTTTTTGAGTCCTGGTTAATTTTATCTCCTTCCTTATTTATTAATAGACCTACTTTCTCTCTAGTGCTGATCCTGTCCCTGATATATTTGTAAAATCCCTTCGTGTTCCCCTTAGCCCTTCATGTCATTAACTCATTCTGCTTTTTGTTGCCTTTTCTTTTCCCTGCAGCTTTGAAGGGACAGTATCGACTTACAAATCACAGCCCTGTCTGAAAATGTTTCCCTTCTATTGTTGCAGGTATCTCTTAAGAGCATCAGGGGAAAGGCTTGATTGAAATCTCTCTGTTTTCCAGTGAGATTCCTGTGTGCCTTTGACAGCACTCCAGCTTTCACTGTCTTCCCTTTACAGTTTATTTCCCCTGCTGTTTGAGTGGATCTTTCACACAGCAACAGGGGACCGAGACATTTGAAAAGCACACCAGTCGGCGGGGGTCTCAGGGCAGGAGTAGCTGTGGAGCTATTCCCCAGGCACTTTTGAGAACTGACTCGCTTTGTGCTTTACTCTGTGCCTTTCTTTGGCTCTGTGTCTGTGGGTTCAGTCCCCCGCCCCATTTCTCCATTGCCAGGGCAGCTTCCTGTATCCTCAGCTCTGCCTCTCCCTGGCATGTACGGCCCCTCCCTTGAGTGTCTGAGCTAGTCCCTTTGTGGAGCGGATTGGATGGGGGTCGCTGAAGAGTGGTTACCTCTGCTTGCCTCTGAGCTGGTCTGGGTCAGGTGAGTGCCAGGAGCTGTGTTCTGAAAGGCAGCCCTGTGGAGCGGTGTCGGACCTTCCCCTGGTCAGGGCTCTGCCGGACCTTCCCCTGGCCAGGGCTCTGCCTGCAAAGGGTACTGCTATTCTCTGTCCCTAGTCCCTTTAGGATCCTTGACAAGGCGGCAGGGCCGGTTCCGAAGTGACCAGAGGAGCAAGCAGATGGCAGTTTTGCAAGGGAGAGTGACAGCCAGATACACCTAACAAACATGCTCTACACTTAGGCCAATAACCGCCCCAAAGACCGAACAAACAAATGAAACCCCTGCAAGAGTAAAAATAAGGCAAAGATCGCGGGCAGCCATCCAGCAGCGGAGTGGGGGTGTCCAGTGTATTGCACTGAACGCAGCATATCTGATTCCCTGCCCTATGGGCAGGGTGCGCTTGTGAGCATTCAGTGCACGCAGCTCCTGGCCCTCAGACACCAAGCGTGGGCTCTGGAGACCACAGTGGCTGAAGTGGAGGAGCTAAGAGAGGCAGAGAGATGCATAGAGGAGACTTTTCCGGACACAGCAGAGTGGTCCCACCCCCTGTCTGACAGCACTGTGCTGTCGAGGAGGATGAAAGTCTCGGGGAAAGAGAACATCAGGCTGGAGTGGAAGGAAACGATCCCATAGTTGGGACCCGTCTTCCAGGTGATGTCATGGTGCATCTGAAGAAGTGGGTTTTTTACCCACAAAAGCTTATGCCCAAATAAATCTGTTAGTCTTTAAATTGCCACCGGACTCCTTATGGTCTCCTCTGGCACTGAGGTCCCCAGTTATTAGGAAGGCAATAGTACTGCGGGATTTGATTATTACAAATCTAGATAGCTGGGTTTGTGATGACTAGGAGAACCTCATGGTGACTTGCCTGCTGAGTGCCACCACTTGAGGCATGAGCTGGTGGTCATGGTACATATAGATACCAGTGATATAGGGAAAAGCAGGTGAGAGGTTCTGGAGGCCAAATGTAGGCTGTTCGGTAAGAGATTGAAGTCCAGCACCTCCATGGTAGCATTCTCTGAAATGCTTCCAGTTCCATGCTCAGGGCCAGGTAGACAGGCAGAACTGCAGGTCCCCAAAGATGATTTTGGGAGGAGGGATCTAGATTTATTAGGAACAGGGAATATTTTGGGAAAGGAGGATATCCTAGTAAAGAGGAGACGATAGAAGCTGATAAAATACAGGTAGGAACTGAAGAGAAATAGTCAAATGAAAAAGAGTCCCATTCAGTTCCATCACATGCAGGCAGGCCACCAAACAGGGACACATTTTGTCAGTACTTGTGTACAAATGCTAGAAGACTAAATACTAAGATGGGTGAACTTGAGTACCTGGTAGTAAATGAGGATATTGCTATAATAGGCATCACAGAAACTTGGTGGACTAATGATAATTGATGGGACATTGTAATACTAGGGTATGAAATATGTAGGCATGGCAGAGTAGGTCACACTGATGAGCTAGTGGCACTGTATGTGAAAGAAAACATAGTCAAATATAGTAAAAATGTTGACTGAAACTGTACCATAGAATCGCTATGGATAGAAATTCCGTTCTTGAATAGTAAGAGTAGCAACAGGAATATACTGCCGACCACCTGACCAGGGTGGTGACAGTGACTGTGAAATGCTCAGGGAGATTAGAGAGGCGACAAAAACAGAAAATCCAATAGTAATAGTGGATTTCAGCTACCCTGTATTGACTGGGTACATATCACTTCAGCCCAGGATGCAGAGATAACATTTCTAGACACCATTAATGACTGTTTCTCGGAGCAGCTTGTCTTGGATCCTCCAAAGGGAGAGACAGTTCTTGATTTAGTCCTCTGCGGAGCACAGGATCTAGTCCAAGATGTGAATCGAGCTGAACCGCTAGGTAATAGCATCACAGATCCACAGGGCTGGTGCTCTGACCCCAGCTTTGGAACAGTCTCTCGGAAGAGCTTTTCAATGAGACAAACTTCCTAAGGGTCTTGCTTTTCTCCAGGGTAAGCCACACAGCTTCACCACCTCCTTAAGAACCTCTGGTCCTTCAGCACCTGTGCTTCACGCTGAGCTCCGGCCAGTGAGTCCAACTGAGGCAGATCCCGAGGGAGACGTGTAGAGGCTTAGGGAGCCAGGCAGCTCCTCTGCCAGCGGCTGCAGGGACACTCAGCCAGCGTGGCCGACAGGCGGGTTTATTAGTTGACTGGACACAGCACAGGAAGTCCTTGGTTAGCCCAGAGAAAAGGAAGTGACCGCCTAGTCCATCCTGCTCAGCACAGAGCCCAACCCCCGTCCCTCTGACCTCTTTTTGTCCCAGTTCAGGTACCCCGACTGCTTACCATAGCCACCACTTAACTCCCACCTCACCCCCAGGCCTTTGTTCCCCAGCTGGGCAAACACAGCTTGGCTTTCTGCTGAGAGTTGGGGCCATCCATGGTGGCTGGTCGCTAGGGATCAAAGTCCCAGTGATTGGGGTTGCCATTGTCTTTTCACAAACTCCCTGGATATGGGGCCCAAGCCCCAGACAGCTGGGAGCCATCCACACCTGAGTCTCTGAGCTGCTGCAGAGAGCAAACAGCCCTTTCTACCCCTGGGGTAACCCTGCAGCACATAAGGGAAACTGAGTAACAGGCTTCAGAAAAATATTTGAAAAACTTTCCACTCTGTCATAAATAGTGACCATAATGAAGTTAAATTTCATATCCTTGTAGGGTGGAAAATACTAAAGCAGGGGTAGGCAACCTAGGGCACGTGTGCCAAAGGCGGCACGCAAGCTGATTTTCAGTGGCACTCACACTGCCTGGGTTCTGGTCACCGCTCCGGGGGGCTCTGCATTTTAATTTAATTTTAAATGAAACTTCTTAAATATTTTGAAACCTTATTTACTTTACATACAACAATAGTTTAGTTATATATTATAGGCTTATAGAAAGAGACCTTCTAAAAAGGTTAAAATGTATTACTGGCGCGTGAAACCTTAAATTAGAGTGAATAAATGAAGACTCGGCACAGCACTTCTGAAAGGCTGCCGACCCCTGTACTAAAGAAATCCACCACAGCAGCATTTAACCTCAAAAAGGGAGAACTACACACATGTGGAAGCCAGTTAATGGAGATTAACAGTCACAAGAGGGAAATGCCTGCAAGCTGCATGGGAACAACTTAAAAACGCCTCAATAGACGCTCAAACGAAATGTATAACCCACATAAAAAAAATAAGAGGGCCAAAAAATACCCCCCCGGCTAAACAGTGGAATAAAAGAGGTGGTTAGATGCAAAAAGGCATCCTTTAAAAATTGGAACTCGGATCCCAGTGAGGAAAATAGAAAAGCGCATAAGCTTTGACAAGTCAAGTGTAAAAGTATAATGAGTCAGGCCAAGAAAAACTTTGAAAAGCAACTAGCCAAAGACACACAAACTAACAGCAAAATGTTTTTAAGTACATTGCCAAACCCACAGTGTGGGAGAATGGAGGTGCTAAAGGAGCACTCCAGGCAGACAAGGCTGTTGCGGAGAAGCTAAATTAATTCTTTGCTTTGATCTTCGCCGCACAGGATGCGAGGGAGATTCACACACCTGAACCATTCTTTTTCAGCACAGATCTGAGCAATTGTCCCAAATGGAGGTGTTAGTAGAGAAGGTCTTGGAAGAAACTGTTAAATTAAACAGTAATAAGTCACTAAGACCAGGTGTTATCCACCCAAGAGTTCTGAAGGAACTCAAATGAAATTGCAGAACTAGTAACTGGAGTACATAACCTATTGCTTCAGTCAGCCCCCGGACGACTGGAGGATAGCTAATGTAACAGTGATTTTTACAAAAGGCTCCAGAGGCGATCCTGGCAATTACAGGCTGGTAAGCCTAGCTTCTGTGCCAGGGCAATTGGTTGAAACTAAAGAACAAAATTATCACACTCACAAATGAGCACAATATGTTGGGGAAGAGTCAACATAGCTTTTGTAAAGGGAAATCATGCCTCGCCAATCTATTAGAATTCTTTGAGGGGGTCAAGAAGCATGCGGAGCAGGGCCGGCGCTTCCACTAGGCAACCCTAGGCGGTCGCCTAGGGTGGCAGGATTTGGGGGGGCGGCATTTTGCCGTCCTCGGCGGAAATTCGGTGGCGGGGGGTCCTTCTGCTCCAGGTCTTCAGCAGAAATTTGGCGGTGGCTCCTTCACTTGCTCCAGGACCCGCCGCCAAAGTGCCCCGAAGATGCGGAGCAGAAAGATGCCTGCCGCCGAATGCTCAGAGGAGGAGCGCTCCCGCTTATGCGGAGAAAGGAGATCCAGTGGCTATAGTGTACTTGGACTTTCAGAAAGCCTTTGACAGGATCCCACACCAAAGACTCCTAAGCAAACTCCGCAGTTATGGGGTAAGAGGGAAGGTTCTCTCACGGATCAGTAACTGGTTAAAAGATAGGAAACAAAGGGTAGGGATAAGTGGTTAGTTTTCAGAATGAAGAGAGGTAAATAGTGGTGTCCCCCAGGGGTCTGTGCCTGGACCAATGCTGTTCAACATATTCATAAATGATCTGGCAAAGGGGATGAACAGTCAGAGGGCAAAGTTTGCAGACGGTACAAAATTACTCAAGATAGTTAAGTCAAAGCAGACTGTGAAGAGTTACAAAGGGATCTCCCAAAACTGTGTGACTAGGCAACAAAATGAAACTTGAAATTCAGATTGATAAGTGCCAAGTAATGCACATTGGAAAACATAATCCCAACTGTACATACAACATGATGGGGTCTAAATTAGCTGTTACCTCTCAAGAAAGAGATCTTGGCGACATCATGGATAGTTCTGTGAAAACATCCACTCAATGTGCCGCAGCACTCAGAAAAGCGAACAGAATGGTAGGAACCATTAGGAAAAGACAGATAATAAGACTGAGAATTTCATAATGCCTCTATATAAATCCATGGTACGCCCACACCTTGAATATTGCATGCGGTTCTGGTTGCCCCGTCTCAAAAAAGATAAATCAGAACTGGAAAAGGCGCAGAGAAAGGCAACAAAGATGATCGGGGGATGGAACAGCTTCCATACGAGGAGAGATTAAAAACACTGGGATTGTTCTGCTTGGAAAAGAGATGTCGGGGGACTGGGGGGTTATGATAGAGGTCTAAAATCATGACTGGGGTGGAGAAAGTGAATAGGGAA